ATCTGTCGCAGCTCACAAATAGAAAACGAAATCGAACTCCCGTGAAGCCCATTAGCCATTAATCCGCAATTCATCCGAGAAAACTCCAAGCAATGACCGAAACCGTTGAAAACAAACCCACGCGGTGTAAAACAGATCAAAGAAAAGAAAAGCGACAGAAAATATGTTCTAAAACAGGTATGTACGAAGTGAAGTTGCTTCCCAATGTCAGTGTCAATGGACATGGGTGGTATGGACATGGTGTTCATCAGCCGTAGTTGTCGTAATGGTTTAGAAGGTGCTCCAGTTCCAGCCACGAGGAACGCTGGCGGCAATCTCGGTGCTCTGGGCCAACACTCCGGTCAGGGCGGGCTTCGCATTCTCGTCCGGCGAGATATCCGAGCGGTCGGAGGCGGTATTATCATCTTCATTGTCACTGTCAGAGGCTCTGCTTTGGGCGTCGAGCAGGCTCTGGATCTTGCTGAGGCGTTCCGTACGAGACTCCTCCCAGCGCTGGTAGGCGCTCCAGCAAAGGTCGCATGCGCGGGAGGGAACTCCATCAGGGTGGAAGCGAGCATTCTGATCAAGCGGGACGACATGAGGAGTGTGGGAGGAGCAGAAGACGTGGCCGCAATGGCGACAGTGGTGACGGCGAAGGAAGAGACCGAAAGAGGAGCGGCAGGTAGGAGAGTCGCAGTTGGGGGAAGCAGAGTCCGCCTGTTGGGAGGTTTTGTTAGCACAAGTTCACTTCTTTGCAAGGGGTGATTGTTGTGAGGCTGTCTGGATGTCGTCATGGCAATCACGCGATATCGCGCAACGCAATGATGGCGCGACCCGGAGCCCGGCTTGCGCCATGACAACACTATATAGTAGACGCGTCCACCCAGGGAAGAAGGGACTGAAGTAGTGGTTTCACTTACTTTCCAGTGATCACGAGTGGGAAGACCAGTGACCTCGCCCAGGTGCTCATTCTTCATCCATTCATCCTCTGCCAGCTTGCTGACAGCAGGACCGCTGTTGTAGCTCTCCATGGTCGAACGACGAGTAACAGGTGCACCAACTTCGCCCTCGTTCAGGCTGTCGAGAGAGCCGTGAGAACCGTGAACGCTGCGGGGAGGAGTCGGGGGAGAAGAGGCCTTCTGGGGACGCTCAGTGGGGCGCAAGGCAGCAGGAACGTAGAGAGGACCCTTGAGGGGACGGAGTTGCTTCGACTGAAGCGGCAAGTGCTGATAGCGAGGAGAAGTAGGAGAGTTATTTGCGGGAGAGGTCTCGGCCGAGTTGACAGGAGAAGGGTGACCGTAGACGGAGATTTGCTTGCCAGTGAAAGCAGGGGCAGTAGTAGTCGCAGTCACAACGTGGGTAGCCATTTGAGATGATATCAGAGGGTGTTGAAATATTGAGCAAGAGATTTGAGTGGATGGTGGAGGAGAGGTTGATTGTCAAGTGTTGGTAGAGTGGAGAGTAGTTGAGAGGATGGAAGTCAAAATGGAAGATGAGGTGACAGTAGACCAGGTACTAATAGCAGCGGGTGTTGAGGGAATTATGAATTATCGCTAGCAGCAGGGTGTCGAGTGAATTGATGGGTTATGATGCCAACAGTAACCAGATAGGATTAGATCAGTTAATGGCCATTGACAGAGTAGCTGGATGGAACCAGAAGGGCATCGCAGTGGCAAGCGGGAGAAGGGTGGGTTAAAGTTCGCGATGACGCTGGGATCTGGAGATAGGCGATATAGAGAAGATCGATCCAGGGAATCGGATTGCAGCACAAGCGAACCGCGTGGGGTGAGATAGTCGGGTTCAAGTGAGTAAGTAATAAGAAAGTGAGTTGTTGAGATGAGATCAGTAAGTAGTAGTAGTGTGGTGGGTGGTACTCGAAACGAATCGGGACGAGTGAAGGGGAAGGGGGGAGAAGCAGGTGATAATGGTGGGCGATGAAGGGCTACTAATAAGAGAGCGAGACTCTACATAGGCACTCCCAGCAGGAATGAATGAATTATTAAGTGGCATCCGCCGGACGGGGATGGGAGGGGGGTGGAAAATGGGAAAATGGGAAATGGGCAATAGGGAATGGGCGATTTTTTGCCATGCATTGTGGAGATGCGCTAGTGGATGGAGACCCCGATGATAATAATAATTATCATCATCCTTTGAACACGCTAAATTAACCCGACGAGCAGCGCCGTCTCGTCTGCTTGGACTCGATAGGTAGTTCCGACGGCGGCTTAGGTTGAGGCTAGAAAGTCCCGAAGAAAGGCAGGGAGTGGAGCCGTTGGAGGATCGGAGGCGACCTTCAATTCACACCCAGAAAGTTACGCTTGATCGTGACGATGACTGAAGTTACTTTCCTGCCTACACAGCAAGTAAGTAAAACAGGGGGGCAATTACTTACTTTTACTGGATGTATCTACTACTATTGGATGTTACTTTACTTTTTGGGGGGGAAGGAGTATTATTTGCTTCTTCGGATAATATTCTCCTGCTCTTCCTCATCCCTTTTCCCCTGCAAGATGTCATAAGAATGTGATCGTGACATGCTGAGAGTTCATATTGTTCATGTTTCTTTTTCTTTTCCCATACATATTTCTTACTCGACTATGATTTCTTTCCCCTGACGAATCCGCAGCCGAGGACTGGAGGGAAAATCCAGGAGTTTTTGGACTGGACGGACTTCCCGATCGTCCGGCGTTACCAATCCGTAACAGCAGATCGGACGGATTCAGGTTAGACTATCCCCAAACCAGCACGGCATTTTACCGAGGCCGCCCTGAGAAAGAGAAAGATAATCTCCAAGCCGGGATTTAGACGATTATCGGATACTACGCCGGAGTGTTACTCTGGTGAGTGTTTCTGATTTGTCTTAATAGTTGGTATTATGATGAACGGGATAATGATGACGAGAGACGCAATATACTAGCGACGTTGTATACAGACATTAACTCCGAGATAGTCATATGAAAATGAAAGAAGTAATACATCCATCCATCTATCTACTTCTGCCCGGTTCTTGGCAGATTCATGACATTCGTACCGGGTGGGTGGGATGGACAAATGCGGTGTTACTCCTGCTGCCCGTCCACGGTAATATCCAGACTGGAGGATGGCTGCACCTCCAACCAGTCACTACCACTCGATATCCATTCATTCTTTCCCCCCCCCCTTCCGCCGAAAGTCATGATGACAACAACCATACACACACACCCTCTCCCTCCCTTCCTTGACCGCCTCTTGCTTTCCCACCCGCACCGGACATTCCTTCGATCGAGGATCTTCCGTATCTTTTTCCCCTCCATACCGCCCATCGATGATTCATTCATCCCCGCGGCATGCACAGGGCGGCCCAGAGTCAACCTTGTATCATCTCTCCAACCCTCGACCCTGAGGCAATCAAGTATGCATCCCGGTCTGGTGGCAACAGGTTTATTGGCCTCACGTACTGGGAACACGGTAACATCATCGAAAATGGATTAATGCCCGCATCTGATAACTTTCCCCTTTGAGCGATCTCCATTGTCTTCCCCCACTCCTCCTCACGATGTACACAGTCGTCCCCATTATTCTCCTCATCCAAAATCCACCAACTGCCAATATCACTAACTGTACTGTAAGCACGGGAGTCTACTGTGTAAGGTACCACAATAATAATCATATATGAGGGTCCGCTTTCTCCATTAAAAAAAAGCGGACACCTAACCCGGTCTCCAACCGCCATCGGATAGACTACTTTGTAATAGTCGCAGCTGAAAGAGAGACAGGGAGAGACAGACACAGACACAGAGAGACGTTTCTGGGCGACGGCTACAGACCACGGAACGCTCGACCGGTGAATCTCCCATCAAATCAAAATGGGGTGGCCTCTCATTGGTAAGCGGACTCCACCCGAGGTAGAGACCCACTGGCCGCCTTGACCGCGATGACTTGCTCTCTTAGGAAGAGTTCACGAGACCAGCTACTCTCCCGTACATGGGTGTTCCCTTCCCAAAGCCTCGGAAGTAGCAATGGTCAATCCATCTCCAGTGGTGAATGATCACGGGGAGGGGAGCCAGTGTGCAGTTACTAACTTCGTACACTACTATTGACACATTCACACATACATCCACTGCTATCCCTATCCCCTTGCAAGCAAGACTCCATCAAAAGTCCAACGTCTTTCTGGCGGTGACAGACCGACCGTTGTGTCCGACTGGTCTCCCGTGCCAATCAATCCGATCGGATAAGAAAACAGGGTGGGTGAAGGGGAAAGAGATGGAACGGAAAGCATGGACTGGGTTTGGGTTGGATTGGATAGATGGCTGCTCAGAATGGGGCCTTTGCACCGGTGGGAGTGGAAACCAATCAACTGGAGAACCGCTTTTCCCAAAGCTGGTGGATCCCTTGAACCTCGCCTCCGGATTGGAGTCCTCCTGCAGCTCGTTATCGCTGGATTATGATTGGTCCAAATGGACTTGCCACGTTGCCATTGGTCAGTGCCCCTTCAAGCCAGCACGGACAGTCCCCGAACCAGTCGCCTCTCCAGGGCGGTCTCTACTAGTAGGTACTGTAGTACTATAACTTTCAATACTTTGTGTCTTTGTCGGGCAAACTGCCTCGAGGAGATTATGTAACAGATACAACAAACCGCGTCGCGTGTAGACACATTCGGTACCGCTTCGGGTTAGCGCTTCCGGTGCACCTCGGCCGTTGAGCCTTTTTGACTTGCCGCTGTCGACTTTCTTCGGCTTCCCCTGCGCCCGTGGTGGATGCGCCTGACTATTGAAGCCGTGATGATTGGGCTGGCCTCGTGGATTTGGGCCTGTCAAATTATTCACGGCGGCACACGACCGAGGCAAGTCAGTATTTTGATTGCCTGCCCCGGTGTGCAACTTGGTGCTATACCCAGCTGAAACCCGCCTCGAATATTCTAGTCGGCCTTAGTCTAGCAGCCGCTACGGTGAGTCTAAATCGGTAGAGGATCCCACTCCTGACAGGCCGCCTGCTGGTTGGTGCAGACGTGCAGCTCAGGATGTAAGACATCCGCGGACTTACATGCACCGTACAGCCTGGCCGTGAACTATCCTCGAGGCACATCCCTGCCGCTGCAGCTCTAGCCCGGGTGCGAGGCGGTGGCAGGATGTACCTAGTACCTGACTATCCAGGATCCCTCCCCTGCTCGAAGGAGGTACCCAGGAACTTTAGCTGCTTCATTTGTCCAGCTTAGGAAATGACGACGATGGTTTTAGTTGCCGAGCAGGGATTATGGCCTGTTGGGAACTATAACCGCTGTTTGTTATATGGAAGCACCTGGAAAATGTGCTCGCATCTCAATTTCGAGGCGATTCGATACGATCGTGAGGCAGGCCGCTTAAGCGCTTCGCCGGATCGACCGCTAGACATCAAACACGGGTGTAACTCAGAGCAGGCACCTGCGTTAGGAACTGATAACTGAGGTGACTCCGTGTTTAAGCGCCAAGCTAAGCATCAAGAACAGTCGATCCATCAGATTAGGAGTCCGACGGGCCTGTTCATCCTGTCCCAGCAACCAGGTACATCCCTCCCATCTCGAGATGAACCGCTATCATCAAGCTTCCTTACGAAGAGAGCAAAACAAAAACAACGTCTCTTAGACGGTTGGGAACTATCAACCAATCATATCACCTCATCAGTAATACCACGGGCACCATACTGTATACGAGTCCCTTTCCCCCCATCCTCAACCACACGAGAAGGAGACGTGGTTAAATCTCGGCATCTCCAAACCCTACCACATCCGCGTCGCCCGACATCCTCCCCAACCGCGAACCACGGTTCAACCCAGAGCCGGACAGACAGCTCAACGTCGATCCCACCCAAACAGGCAATCTCATCGAACCCTCGTCGAAGCCTCCGTGCCCGAGAATTGCCCCTCACCGAGGAATTGCCTGCCCGGCCGGCCCCCTCGAAGGCAAAAATTCGGGGCGATGAACAACGATGATCCGAAGATCACTGGCGGTGGATGTCTGGGCCAGGGCCAACCGTCCACATGATACGATCAGTAGAAAAAGTGGATGTTGCATACGTGCCACAACTCACTGCCACTAGGCTAAAGTTACTAGACACAGCCGAGCCGACCAGACCAGACCAGCCTAAGATAAGTCCTCTTGTAGATAGGCAGTACCGGGGCAGCGAACCAATGTTTGCGATGGAGACTGAGACCGCGTAGTCTGGGTTGACTTTCGTACCACTCGTGGATGTTTGTTTGTTGTTTACAACCTTAAAATAGAGTCAAGTATACGTATGTGCTTGGTTGTTGTTTCTTCTAACAGTGAAACACCATCTTGTCTTGAGGTTAACGTATGCCGAATATTTCATTCTTTTTGGGTCTTTGTGTAACCATCACCAGGAGATTTTAGTCCGCTGCAGAACTGCAGCCCAATTATTGGGTCGCTGCTTCATCCGATGCATCCGGATCCTGATCGGGTTAGGTCGGTTGGCTCTCAGTGTCCTTCACAGTAAACTTGGATTAACGTTCCCTTGCTTGTTTGGGAGAAGATGGAATACTAACATTCTAATTCCTACTAATTCTCCATTTGGATGCATCATAGTAACCTATATCAACTAAGTAAGCAGGGGACTTGCACTTGTGCATACATATGCACTGGCACTACTATTAACGGTTCGCAGCACAAATATATACAACTTGCTTGAGATGGAACTTAATCAAGGCTGTTACCCCTCCAACGCGACTACGATATGAATTATTTCAGATAGTAATGCTCTGTAGTAGCAGAAAAATTATAACTTAATGCTCCTAAGTCCTAAACAACAATAGCCATTCGCAAATAGAATAAACACAAGCACTACTACTAGTATTACTACCAGTATCAGTATCAGTAACAGTCTAACCCACCTAAACGACTGACTACACTGTACACATCTCAAACCTACCCAACCCCCCTCACCACACCACACACCATTTGCATAAACAAAGTACGAAAACCAAAGCTGGCGCTTAATAAAGCAACCTTCTACTGACCAGTGGAAAGCAATATGCTGATCACTGCACCTAGAGCCTCAAAGTTCCCTTCCACCCTCCCCCCAAGCGAAGTCAAAACCTAAAGGTATACGATTAAGGCTGGCTATCAAAACCTTCTACTACTGCCCAATCTACTACCCTTTCTCTTCGCATCTCGGGAAGTTTAAAAGGTACGAAATGATGCTTTGATGATGCGCACGGTGCCTTGGGGTATCTGTGCTCAAGCTTCTGACTTGGTTGTGAGCGAGGGAAGTAGCTAGCTAGCTAGCTAGCGAAGGATGAGAGTGTGAAGGAGCAAGGAAGGTTTTGGGCTGTAAGTGGTGTTATTTAGGAAGTGTTATCTAGGCGAGTATGGATATATTTTCCCCGGGGGATTGGTGGAATAGAAAGCGAAATACTAGTACATATTTAGTTGTATATTGTTCAAGGGCAGAGACGATCATTCAGTTGCTTTCAATACAGACTTACTGGTGATAAGAAGCCGTCAATTACTGTCTGCATACTTGCAAGAGCGAATACACATCTCTGGGATCGATACCAGATACCATCACATGCCATTGCCCAGATGATGGCCAAAGAATAAGCTGATTCCCAGTGACCAACTCATCAGCACGGACACGATGCATCCAAGCTACTAGACACATCCCTGTCTCCCTGGAATGCAATATACTAGTACCCCGCCACGAATGCCACCAGAGCCCCGCTATTCCTTGATGGCGACAGTATCGCCGCCTTCGGACATGAACAGTGATTCTTTGACAAGAAACATACAGTAAATTCCCGCAACCGAGAAGACGGATCTAGATCGAGATCGAGCTGGATGTTCCGGCGGCAAATGAGGGTAGATACGTAGGCGAGCTCCTATTCTTTGCCGTGGATTATCATATTGGATTTGTCAAGCCATCGGAAGTGAACTAATTTACTTGGAATTGACGCGGAAGCACTAGTCCGAGTTGGTTTCCTCAGGCGTTGGATCTGTCTCGTGACCGGCAGGGATTAGTGCTGTTGCTCGTCGCTGTGGCGGTGGCTAGTCTATCTACCCAGTATCAATCCACTCGATTTAGTTCCTCTCAGCTAGGGGCAAATGGCTGAATGGCGTGCTTTGTTCTGCAGGCGACCGGTGAATAGTCACTAACTATCAGAGGGTCTACAGTCCACATCGAATGCAGTCTAGACAAGGCTGTACTGCTCTACGGCTGCTTGTTGGTGCCCAAAGCGTCAATGGCGGGGTGATTCCCAGTTACCCCTCACTCATTCTTTGACTCTCACCGCAGCCCCTCTTCCATCTATGAGAGACACTTGCCAACCGCGTCTGGCCGCCATTAGCGCTAGCTCAGGTGACATCACTACTCTTGCTCTTTGTGAGATATGGATGGATGCATTGCTGTTGAGTTGAGGACTCATGCACGGACGGGCCGCACGGTGAGTTGTTCTGTCCTCAATGCTGATGATCCAGCGCGGTGGAGTATCTATCGGCCGATAACACATCTAAGAATCTCTCTGCTGCATACCTGGTATCTGGAGATAAGATCGGAGGAACCCCGCAGTCTGTCATCGCCAATTAACAGCTGACTGACTGACATTCATCCCTCGTCAATGGAGTCAAGCATGGATCCATCAACCACAAAGGCCATCGACCGGGCCGAACATGGTCAGCCTGACAAAGAAGCACCGCTGCGCTCGGAAGATTGCCAACCAGGGTGTCTGCAGCCATACTGAGTCACGCGTGAACTACCGACCCCTCTTTTGTTCCGATTTCTGTCGATACGAAGTCTACACTGTCAATGTCCCGAGTCTGGCCGTGCCTTGTCTCAACGGCATTGACCACAAGCTAGATCTGCACGCATCCAGACGCGCGGGCAGACTGACACGTGTCGGCCGTCCAGTATGCAATCCGTGCGTCATCTGAGAACTGCCATGGGCTCGGGATCAAGGCAGGAAGCATACCGGGATCCAGCCAGGTCAGGTTCATTGAGCATTGACCTGTTCCGTCCAAGAGTGATGTCTTACATCTAGCTGTCACCGCTATAAGCTTCAAGGCCCGGTGCCAGTTGATGGGTGTGTATATACCCCGCATCCTGCAGCTAGCCTGCTCCGGACCTGCCCGGCCGCATGCTGCTCATCTGCCTGGCATGTTACTCGTCCAGTCATGCCGGCCAGGTAGTTCACATATCCGGCTGGCTCCTAGTCTTTGACACGTATGAGTCCTGGGCTATCGCGGGTATGTCTTCTTTGATAACCTGCGACAAGTCATCCAGGGTGTGAGAGAGGTCATAGTCCGTGCCAGGACATATGGCGCGGAGGTGATGACCATAGCTGTTATCCATCGGGACGTGCACGGTGTTGGGTGTCGTAGGCTATCATGGCTATCTATTTCGATGACGCCGCTGTGTTCTGCCCAAAGATGTAGACTAGGATACAGCCCTTCAGCTAGTCTCTAGGCATGGCATCGACTGTCGTTCACATGACAGTAGGACTGACAGAACGGCTGCCAGGGTATCGTTGTCTCGACTGGCCCATTGTAGTCACCCATTGCAAAGGCTTCATTCACATGTATTCTGCCTACCCATGGACTAGACGCGTTTGCCTGCCTGCCTCAGATCACTGCAACTTCTCACTCAATAGTACTGTTGCTCTGTCCAGCCATCGCTTATGCAAGATGGCGCTGAGATATGTCCAGCGAGACATGTGCTAATCACTCTGAATGTACGCGAGGACTCGTCACAGTGTCTATAGTGAGTCGCAAGAGTGCAAACCTCTCTACCTCTGCGATATCAATCAAGAGCTCTATTGTTCATTGCCTCATAGTTAAATCAGAACAAGCACAAAAATGCCATCAGTTTCATCATTCATTTGCAATAAATCTTGTCTATCCTCGACCAAGCCACTATGAAAGATAAGCTACCAGATAGTGCCATTTATATAAGGCTCGTGGAACAGCAACAGGGAAATCTTCAGCTGTCTCCTATATCAGCTAGCCTGCGCAAATTGCAGTCGCCTATTCATCTTGCATGAGACAGACAGCCTGTCAATCCCAGGAAGGCCTAAATCCCGTAGCTGGATTGAATAACTGTTCACACTCTCGCCAAGGGATATACCATACATGGACATGAATAACTGTCATTTGTCGTTTGTTGCCAAACCAAGTAAGGGGAGTATTCACGAAACCAACCTCAGAGTTGTACATGTCATTTCGCATCTAGCAGAGCTTGGTCTGAAGACCACAAGCATTTATTTGTGATTATCAGAGATATCTCCAGCGCAATCTTTTGGTCTTCAAGCGTGAAGAGAATACGCCACCATGATTTGAAAGCCCAATATCTCTGGATGAGCGAAACGATCTAATCAGGACGTATGATCCAGCGAACTCCGTCATACAAGACTGCTATGAACTGAAAGTACATCCAGCTGAACAGGACATCGAGTGCTGATCATGGGTGTCTGATTGAAGAGCATGATGCATGTTGAAAGATGCTGCGGGCACCGCCAGGACCTTCCTCACGAGGGAATGAAACGCCTATCTCCTGACTCTTGTATTTGTATCCCCTAAATGTAATCTGAGAAGAGCAGCTTTGACCAGAGATACAATTTCGATGCTATCCAGAGCTTCCCACAACCTGTTTTCCTGTTCATAGAGCCACCATAGGATTCCCACCCGGGGGATCGAAGCAACTGAGTCCGTTCGGTTCTTTGCAGTTTGCTCGTGATAAAGCCTTCGTCGTGAAGAATTATTCCACTTCAACAGTGCATTTCTCTTCATCAAACATGTGTAAGTGAGGTGCTGAATATACCGCCTTTTCGTATACTGCTGAAATTCTTGCTGATGGTTACGATGCCAAGACTCCTATGTCTAAGTAGATCGAAAGAGATATATATCTATTTGATTACGTGGGGCAGAAAGGTGTGATGTATCATTTTGATAATGTATATCGTGCTGAAAATCTAGTAGGTCTGTCATTGACGGCTTCTATATAATAGCTTTCGTTGGTATACTTCACTCTTTGTGAGACATTCCCTCGGGTCTCAATCAGTGAGCAGAAGAGTATCTCTACAGCATTTAAGAAATCACCAGCTAACCCGAATTGACCTCCCTAGCTGCAGAAACCAAAACCAATTCCGCGATCGCTAAACCAATCCTCATCTCTGCGCACCTCCACAAGCCTTCAACAGAGAAGCTCCCTCCCTACAGCCCTGTGCTCTAGACCCAACCCTCGCTAACCAATATCCGACCATCCCGGCCATTAAAACACAAACACCAATAGACCAGGTCCAGAATCCAAAGCAATGAATTAAACTTCAACCAGTCTCAATGTTAGCGTGTCGGAACGCACTCATGTCTCCACCGCGGAGGATAAGTGAACTCCACTAGCCCAGCATCTGTCTTACGCAGCGTTTTAGCAAGCTTAACGAACGATCTAAATCATTGCGGCAGGGCGAATCATGTTCGTCCACTGCCAGGGTTGCCTGGCTGAAAGTGGAGTCGTCTTCTTAACTTCATGCGTGGTTTTAACTTAGTTCAGTGGTTATCGCGGATGATGGCCGACTGCGGTGACAAATTGGTTTGGCTAAGCGGATATCCTGCCCCGGGTTGATCTGTGCTCAGGGGTTCGGTCCGGACGGCCCTTGGGTGCTTGGCTTGGATTGTTGGTCCACGGATATAACAGACTTTGGATATATGGTCCTGATGGGCGAGTGGTGTGATTATGATGAGGGTGGTGATGCTGGTTGATCGGCTGAGGATTGTTGATAAGTAGTGCTGTGCGTGCTGCTTTCGGTTGTAGGCAGACTTTCACGGTTACATAGGGTGGATTGGGCTAGTGGTGGAAACGGACCGGCCTCTTTGGTCTCAAGACTAGCCTTATGGTTAGCTTCGTGTCAAATTGATTAGCCTCGCTATGGGATTTATTGGACTGCTTGGCAGTGAGAGTGGCTGGCTAACATTTTACCGGTAGGGTGTTGAGTGCGTTGTCCCCTCGCCATCACAACTGTTCAGGATGCATCATGGATACCTGAGGATCGAGGACTGGTGTGGGCTCAGACTTTCGTCTATTATAGGAGTCTCGTGAGTCTCATCTCTTGGTCGCCAATGTAGTTCTCAGCAGCGAGTATACCCATTGCTTCAGATTAAGCAGAGTGAAGGACGACCGTTCGGCAGCTGAAATATCACCTTGGAATAGTCGATCGGGCGGATAGATTTCCACCAGCATGTATCATCCATCATACTTGACGAGGGATAAAAGATCTTTGTTGATGCATTTCAGCTTATCAAGTCGATGAGCTTTGTCTGCTGTCGCAGATGATGTGGCAAAACCTCCCGCCAGAGTTGTCCGCAAGGGATAGCGATGTAGGGTTCGCTGTTCGATTGATGTCGAAGCAAGTGATCACTAGCCAGCATAATTGCCGGTATGCTATTGACTTGTTGCATCTAATATGTGATGTCAAATCTCTGGACCAGTTCATCTCTCACAGCTCAATTCACAATATGGAGAGCGTAGTGCTGCATCAAGACCGCATACGGTCGTGCTCTCACAATAACAATAGAACCAGAGGAGTAATGTCTTGATAAAAGCATAATCAGTTTATCTGCATGCAGGAACAATAGATCGATCGATCCTGACCCTCGTGCCTGATCGATAAGCTCGCCTTCATAATTTCGAGATCCTTTCTCTCCCCGTCTGACTCCTGCATTCCGACCCCCGGAACCATGTCGATCCCTGCCTCCAGGCAAAGTTCATATCCAGACAATCTAAACAACGCATCAAATAGACTTTCAGGTCCGACCACTAGCATTGAACTAAGCAGGGACTAACAGTCGGTTCCATCCACACTTCGACTATCGCGTCCCGTCGTTGGCAACCGGTGCCTCTTGGCCTCCGATCGCGCATGCATTAGTGACTGGCCTTCCCCCTCGTCGTACGATCAGTCATGCAGGAAAACTGAGTTCATTTAAATGGCAATTTAGGTTCTGAGTCCAGCATTTTAATCGTGCTTTAGCTCGGAAAAATTTCTTCTGCTGCTGCTGCTGCTGCTCCTGTTCGATCTTTCCACATAATCTGTCCCTGCTCATCTCTCCATCCCTGTCTTTTTCTATGTCTGCGTGCTGAAGTGAAGACTGGAATCGACGAGCACGATGGAGTTCGAGCACGAGCCCAAGCAGCAGGTCGATGGTGTTGTGGCCACCGATTTACCACATTCCGACAGTCCATCCACTGTGGATGTGCCGATCAATGCTTCTGGCCACAAACAGGAGCTCGAGCGCAACTTTGGCTTCATTAACATTTGTGGCTTGGCTCTGACCAGCGGAAACACCTGGATTGCTCTGGGTGGGAGTATCGTGAGTGGCTTCTTCCATTGGGTTTGCTCTATAGATCTCGTCATCTTTAGATTTGCCTGTCTCCGACCGTCTCATAACTGACACTTCCTTCTATTCAGGTCACGGCTATCTATGATGGAGGTCCGCCCGGTGTGATCTATGAGATGTATGCTCCCTGTCATAGTCATTGTACCCCAGAGTAAATGCTAACGTTCTTCTAGGATCGCAGCCTCATTCTTCTACTGGTTCATTGCTGCATCTCTCGCGGAACTGGCCTCGTCTATGCCGTCATCTGGTGGAGGTTCGTCTTTAACCTTGCATACACTCGGAACAAGAAACTGATCTCTGCAGTCTACCACTGGGCATCCGTCACAGCAGGAAGATACGGTCGCGTCTGCGGCTGGTTTGCCGGTTGGTGGAACTTCCTGGCCTGGATCTTCGGTGCTGCCTCAACGACACAGATTCTGGGCACGCAGGTCGTGTCCGCATACGCTTTGTTCCACCCCGACTATACCATCGAGCGCTGGCACGTCTTCATCGCCTACTTGATCTGCTCCATTCTCTGCTGCTTCTTGGTTGCATTCGCCAATCGTGCACTCCCCATGATAGAATCACTAGGCGGATTCCTCGTTGTCGGTGGCTTCCTCGTCACCGTCATTGTCTGTGCCGTGATGCCCCATGTCAACGGACAGCCGTACGCCACAGACGACTTCGTCTGGCGCGACTGGCTCAACGAGGCTGGATACAGTAGCGACGGCTTCGTCTTCTGTCTGGGAATGCTGAACGGTGCCTTCGCCGTCGGCACGCCCGACGTCATCTCCCATCTGGCCGAGGAGGTGCCCAAACCGGGGAAGAACATTCCTCTGGGCATGCTGGCTCAGTACGTGATGGGCTTCTTCACAGCCTTCCTCTACCTGATTGTCATCTTCTACGGTATCACCGACCTGAACGCCGTTCTCGAAGCCCCCTACCTCTTCCCTCTGACCGAAATCTACCTCCAAATCACCGGCACCCGCGGCGGCTCTCTCGGACTGATCATCGTCTCCATGCTCCCGCTCTTCGTCGCCATCGTCGGCTGTTACCTCACCTCCAGCCGTGTGCTCTGGACATTGGCGCGCGACCGCGCTACTCCTTTCAGTGGCTACCTGGGTCGGGTCAACCACCGCTTCAAGAACCCTCTCAACTCGGTGCTCGTCTGCGGCTTGATTGCGATCATCCTCGGCTGCATCTACGTCGGTAACTCCACTGCATTTAGCGCTTTCGTCAGCTCCTTCGTCGTCCTGACCACCTTGTCTTATTCCGCTGCTATTCTTCCGCACCTTCTTCGTGGCCGTCAGGGCATTCCCCGCGGCTGGTTCTGGATGAGTGGCATCACGGGATACCTTGTTAACGCGGTGACTTGTCTGTACATGATCGTGTTCATTGTTATCTTCTGCTTCCCGTTCTCGATGCCTGTGGATGCTGAGACGATGAACTACACGTGTTTGATCACGGGCGGGTTCACTATTTTCATTGCGCTGTTCTGGTTTATTCGTCAGGGCAGCTATACTGGGCCCAAGGCTATTGCGCTGGAGAGTAGTGCGTTGGCTAAGGATGCTATTTAATGAAGGAGTAAATGTTGTACTGTATATAAGGAGAGCTAAAAGTCTGTTGAGTTTAATAATAATATATATAAGACGAGTGATAGACAAAAGCAGCTGTCAGTGCATTTTAGTATAAATATGAGTACTAAACAAAAATACATGTCTATCGTCTTCGAAACCACAACATATAACCCCCAAAATAAGCATCTACTCCCTCTCTGCTGCACTAACCAACGCAACCCCAGTATAACACCCCTCATCTCTCCACATCACCTTCTTCTCCCCATTCTGCAAATCAACACAATACATACTCCCTCCCAGATCAGCAACATACACCTTTCTTCCCTTCCTATCCACCTTCAACCCAATAGGCTCATTAAAATGCCTTGCCAGAATCTCCCTCGACTTCACCACCACCTTACCGCCAACAACCTTGACCCTATTCAATGAGCAACCCCACGGATGCTCCCCCCGATCGGTCCAATACAGCATCACATCCTCCTCGTCAAACTCCAGATCAATCGGCTCCGGCAATCCCTCCAACACCAATTCAACATCCTCTCGACTATCCACCGTCTGCCCAGCCGGCACGTCCAAACCAGCACGGAATATCTGCCCCTGCCCACCTTTACTCGGCCCCTTCTGCGTCCAATACACATGTCCGTTCTTCCGGTCCAATGCAATTCCCACACACCACCGTGTCATATCCCGGCGGTGGGCGGTGTTATCAAGTGCTCCTGTCTGTACCAAAACCTCATGACTGGTGCCGTCAAACCTCACCCGATGCACGCTCATCCCTTCGCGATCACAGAAATACACATGCTGCGTTGTGTCGTCGACAACAAGCTGCTTTGGCGTATGCACCGCCCCAGCTGGAAGTAAAGTGCATATATCCTGGCCATCTAGTGTCGCCGAGTGCACGGATCCGTCGTGCGTGGATGTCGACTGCCCCATATTGGTCCAGAAGATGCGTCCTATCGTCTGAGACACGTCAATCCCATCGGGGAGAGACTGGCCTGTGATAATGGGGACGGGCATGCCAGTGGTGCCCGGCTGGAACTTCAGTATCCTCCCAGCGGTAGAAACCTTCTCGATATCAGGTGTATTTGCTCCCAACCCAACATCAAGAAGATAGAGCAGAGGCCCTTTTCCCTCCGTCTTCCCATTCACGTCCTCAGTAGAGTCAGGAGGATACAACCCTCCCAATCCCTCAGCCTTCCTCCCGACCTTCCCAACACTCACAAACCTCTCCCTCACCCAATCCACCGTCAACTGTCCATCCAGTCTTCTCTCCCGCACATAATTCTCCTCAATATCAGCCACCGTATCCAGCCCAACTGCATCCATCAACCGACACGGCGGCAAACTCTCCTTCCTACCGAACATCTCCCTCCACAACAGATCAATCTCCGCTGGCTCACTCACTCCCTCCGCCAGAATCATCAGTATCTCACGCTTAATCGCCGCCCAGAGACGATTGAAGATAAACCCCGTGGACTCTTTCCGTGCCGTCACGGGGATAACTCCACATTCACTCAACACCCCACTGAGCATGGGGAATACCCGCTCGTGCGTATCCCCGCAGGTCATTAGCTCCACGGTACGGATAGCCGGTGGCATAGTGAAATGCATGTTGAGAAGAAGGACCCGTCGTGGCAGTGGTAGATGACCGCCTATAAGACGGGATTTGTAACTGCTGCTGTTCGATGCAAGGATGCAGTCCGCTGGACTGTGGGCGTGGAGGTCTGCGAAGAGGGATTGCTTTATGGGCAGGATCTCAGGAACGGCTTCGACGATGAGCCAGGCTGTGGCGACTGCTTCGGGGACGGAGGTAAAGGTTGAGATTGGGCCCGGAGATAAAGAAGGACGAGGGATATGGGTAGTGAATTCGTGGATGTGCGTCGAGATGTAAGTTCTCGCAGAGTCAAGGGCAGAGGGCGATGGATCGCTGATGTGCACGCTATAGCCGGCAGATGAGAAGACGGCGGCGATGCGGCGACCTAGAATGCCCGCGCCAATGATGACGATAGGACGGGATTTGGAGGGATGGGTGATAGTAGTATTTGTAGTACACATTGTGTTCATTGTATATTGGATAATGAGGTATAGTAAGGACGGATATAAAATAGATAGATACGATTTAAGGGCATAGAATGGAAGCACAGCACAGCACAGCAAAGGAACCATCTATCCATGCGATAGCTTATATATACAGTCTACCAATACGTATCCAGTACCATAAACTCCAAACCAAATTAGAAACCTCACGTATATGGTCCTTGTCCACTATTGATGCCGGGAAGCCGAAACCAAACCCTCCAAACCCACAACGGAAACCGTTCGGAGACCCTCGGACTCGGAACGGATACAGTTCGGAGAGTTGTATAAGCCAGTCTAAAACCAAACCTAGATTCTGATAACTATAAAACTCCACATGGAATTCTGCAGAGTGGATCGTGATTAATGGGGCATTTCGGTTAACGGCAAGTTTATCTTACTAGATTGGGGTTTTTGAGAAGATTTTTTCTCCGTTGTTGTGCCGGGTTCCGGTCAATTAGTTAGGGATTAATGGGATGTTTGATGCTGTCAGGGTTGTAATGAGGGGTAGGTTTGTGTGTTGTTGTTGTGATTACTACTGGAGGAGAGGATATACTTAGTCTTTGGATAGCTCTCTCGATAATTGGGGAAATGGTAGTCAGAGTCAGAGACAAGTTAATTAGGATTATACAGAATTGCTAGGGTTTGGTGCTTACTACGTGCAGAAAAGCGGTTTATCAACTTGGTGGCTCGACTATTGGAGTAAATGGAGTATATACGTGATATTGAAGTTATTCAACTAATCTATCAAAACAAAAACACCTGATCCCCAGCCTTCGCCACCGCCCCAGGCATAGTCCATCCCAAGTCTAACAACACCTTCTTCATAGCCCCCACCATCGGCGGTGGCCCACACAGGAGCATTTTATTATCCGGTCCAGCAACAGGCAAATGCTTCTGAATAAGCTCAACACTTACAAACCCTCGGTACCCAGTCCAGCCATCATCAGGCCTACTGAGCACATAATGCACCTGGAACCTATCCGGATGATTACGAGCAAAAGCCTCCAGCTCTGCGCGAAGCAAAATATCCTCCTCGGTATTATTAGCATACAAAAGAGAGATGCATGTATCAGTGTCTGTCGGATCTTCGCAAATGGCGCGGATAAGCTGGTACATAGGGGTGATGCCGGTGCCGCCGGCAATCATACCGATGTGTTTGGCATACCGTGGGGTGTACTGCATGGCGCCCTTGGGGCCGCGGATCTCGATGGTATCGCCTATTTTCATCTGCGCTAGGTGCTGCGTCATTGCGCCCTGCGGGTAGGCCTTTACGAGGAGCTCGATGCGGCCGCGGTCGTTGTTGTTCGATATGGGGGTGTATGAGCGTGCTACGCTGGTGCCGTTGATTGTTGCACGTAGGACAATGTGTTGTCCTGTCGGGAGGCCGAGGATGTCGTCAGGGTTTGGTAGGGAGAATATGATGTGGTATACGTTCGGGGCGATCTCTGTCTTCTGGGTCATGGTGAAGGGTCGCCATTGTCGCGGGTCGAGAGGTTTCGGTCTCGGGATGGTGGCTGTCTTAGAAAGGTGCATCAGATGCGCGGGCTTCGATGGTCTATGTGAGGCATAGTGCGTGAACTCTTGCTGAACGTCTAGTTTCGTCGACGCCCATAGGCCTAGGCCAAGTGTGGCGGAGAATTGGACGATGCTGGCGAGGCCTGCACCTAACCAGAAGTGGCTGGCGTTATTCAAATCGGCACCCCGTGGGAGTTGGGTGAAGGAAAGCGCCGAGTGCTGCACAACCTGGAGGGCTTGTGAGGGTGTCATGCCTCGGTTATAGACTGTCACGATGGCTGTGACGACGAGACCGCCCAATCCGAGCTTGCTTGCCGTGCGAAGGAATCCCCATGGCGAGGTCTTCTTCACCTTGATGACAGTGGACTGTGATACTTGTTGGTAGTTTGGACGGTAGATCTCCACAGCCTCGGTTTGTTCCTAGACAAGTCAGGGTACGTGTTGAGGACAAGGGTGATTGTACTACCTCAGAAGGCAAGTCGCCAACAAAGTAGGGCTCGAGCTGCTCGCGCGCCTCGTCCGAGTGGCCGATTTCTTCAAACGCTTCGGTGGCATCGGTACCGGCAACTTCGATGAGGATTTCTTTTCCACCGGGATGGTCTTCTAGGTACTTGGTAATATTGTAGACTACATTGACGGTCAACTTCCATACCCCGCGAAGGCAAAAGAGTAAAGTGACCGACCTTTGTTGTGGAGGACGATCCAGAGGTCGTCGGCCGTGTTGTGCTTCTGCACCTGCTCCAGTGTGAAAGTCGCCATGGTGAATTGTGTGTTGTAGACTGGTTTATTTCGCAGAGACAGGGATATTATATACATATCATTCACATCCTGAGGGTGATGTTTCCGGCTACCCGTGCAAACATAGCTGAGACCTGGGCCGAAGTTCGTGCGAAGTTCGTACGAATGCCAGAAGGTGGCCCTTAACGCGACTCCAAGAAGACATTGGAGATGCAAAGGCCAACTCTCGCCTTCAATCGAATATAAAGGTTACCCTTGCCAAAGAACCTGCTATGTTGTCCTGAATCAGTCCATATTTCCCCTACATCATGCAGTGTCATTTTTACCTCATAGGCGAAGCCGTCGCCACAGCGCAGTGTCTCGAAGTGGACACCCTCTGGAAGTTCGAGGACCTCCAACGCGCAGTCGGGGGTGTATTCCACGTTGTTCAGCCTACCGGCATTTCTTTCCACACCTCCTCTAATGATACCTTGAAGACGGTGTCCGAGGTGCTCGCGGCCGCGACGTCCACCTCTCCCGTCGGCCTGCGCATCGACGGTAACGCCGTGCAGGCACCACAGGGCCCGCCAGGCCTCCCGCTCGTTGGCAGCTTCTATGAGATTTATCCGGACCACCTTGGCAATCATTACCGGCTGTTCCGCAAATACGGCCCTGTCATCAAGACTACCAACATGGGCAAGACGATCTACCTGACGGACGATCCGCAGGTAGCAGCAGCGTGTTTCGCCGAGTCAGCGTATATGACCAAGAAGATCAATTCCGATCACCCACTCTGGGGCGTCAAAGACAACACAGCCATCTTTATCGGTGACACAGAGACGGAGAATTGGCGGCTGGCGCACAAGTTCCTACCACCAGCTATGGGGCCCAAAGCAGTGCGGCACTACACGGGGTTGATGCAGGAGTGCGCGCGCAAGTCGTTGCCGGTTTTCGATGAATTGGACGTCCGGGACGAGTCCTGGAATGTCTATCAGTACATGGTAAAATTGGCATCGCAGACCATTGGCCGCTTCTCACTCGGCAAGGATTTCGGCCACTTCGACGCCGTCGACAGCCCGCTGCACCCCATCGTCACCAACATTGCCAGTCTGCTCTCGCTCAACAAGAAAATCACAGCCCGCGGCGAATGGTATCGCCACATGCCCTTCGGCGACCCGGCCCGTTTGCGCCATGTCCAACACACCATCTACTCGCTGCTGCAAGAGCAGGTCGACACGGTGACGGCCGAGTCGTGCAGCACCGACGCGCCCATGGCCGACGCCGCGTTGTCTGCTACCTGTGTCGTCGACTACCTGTTGCACGCGGTCGACGAGACAGGGGCACACTTCCCGCCGTCCCTAATTCTGGCCAACATGCTGATTGTGACGGGGGCTGGTTTCACGACCACATCGGCGCTCATGTCATGGCTGATCTACTGCCTCGTCACGTACGAGGGTACGCAGGACCGGCTGTACGCGGAGCTGGTGGAATACGGTATTGTAGGCCCTGCTGGCGAGCGAAATGAGACGGCCTGGACGCCGGACCTGGCACACAGCCTGCCGTACATGGACCGGTTCGTTAAGGAGACGCAGCGACTGCACAATGCCTCCTTCCAGCCTGGCCGCACAACAAAGACCGACGTCATCCTCCCCGGCGGCTATCTCCTTCCTCCCAATAGCGTCATCGTGCCAGCCCTATATGCCATCCATACCAACCCCAAGGTCTGGCGTGATCCCTTCCGTTTCGACCCGGACCGCTGGGACACGGACGAGGTTAAAAGCCGCCACCGCTGCGCCTATGTACCGTTCGCAACGGGGCCGCGCGGCTGCATCGGCTTCAATTTTGCTTTGTTGGAGGTAAAGGTCCTGCTGGGCGAGCTGGTGAGTAGGTACGAGTTCGTTCGTGACGGCCAAGAAGCCATCGATTATGAACCAGAGTTCCAGCTCATTCGGCCTTTGAATTTTTATGTGCGGGCTAAGCGCCGCGCGTGATTGACAATTAGACATTGTGTATATAAGTTGATAGACAAAGTACTTTGTAGTGTATATTAGACGTGTTATGAATATTAGCAAGTATTCAGCCGGTACTGTGGCAAATTTCACGCAGGGCTTTGAGAGCCCTGGAGTACGTCCCGAAGTAGCGCACATTGGTGTCGTCGTCGCACCACTCGGTGTCTTTCTCTTCCTTTTCAAGCACAGCTATCAGTCGCTGCACAAGGAGATCCGACTTGCGCCGCTCATCGACTGGCACATGGTTGAGGCTTTTGAGCGTGATGGCGCAGCTCACCGCGTTGTGAACAAAGGCCCAGGAGCGGCACACGCTGGCTGAGTATCGGTGGAGATCGAGAAAGCTCTCGATAGCCTGCATCGCGCGCTGCACGCAGTCCACGGCTATGGCAGTTGGAAAGGGCGCGCCAGTATGACCATCCAGGTATACCCGGTCGATTCGGCAGGTCACATACCCGAGATGAACACCGAGCGCCAATCGCTCGAGATGGTCCTGTAGCGAGACGCATCGGCGCTTGTCCGCGAGGAAAAGGGCGGCGGCATCGCGGATGCCATCAAGCTGGCGTTTGGATTTGCGCATGCTCTCTAAGGGGTCCTGCGGTCCATCTGTGGTTTTCTGGCGCGCTTCATCGATGATCTGATGGCAGATTGCGAAGACACATTCCTGGAAGCCGAGACCATCCGTGTCATGTTTGTATGGGATTGGACAGTTCATCGCTATTGTTCCCAGGGGACGATCGTATGTGAAAGAGAGGAACGTGTCTTGCCAGATGAGCACCCACCTAGTAGTCATTTAGACGATACAATGTACGATGTCTTTGGGAAGCTTACCATAATCTGCTTCGCTCAAACTGCTCTGCCTCCGGCAAAGATGGAGATGCTTCATGAAGCCCGATACTTTGTGCTAGTCGTATAGTCGCGCCTGCCTCAATCAATAAAAGGCCGCAGAAAACAGAAGGAATAATGCGTCCTCTTACCCATGAGGATCCACGCACTGTTGGTATCCAAATTGTTTCGCAAACAATGCCCAATCAAGGCCATGGCCTGAATTTGGTCTGTGTTAGTCTGGTGAAAGAAGTTGGACATACGCAGACATTGAAATGACGAGCAAACTGCCCACAGTCAGCGCCTTGATTCGAATACAATTTTCTCGCCACAACAGTCAACCTACTAAGCACCTTGGAACGCAAATCGCGCTCCTGAATGGGATCATCCGAGAACTGGACTCCGCATGCAAGAACAGCAAACAGCAGCGCCATCCAAGACGAGCTTGGCTCCTCCGACGGCGTCGTCGCCTCGTGTGCCAGCATCCGCTGGTCCAAGAAGGCGAACAACGCCTGCGCAAACTCATCAATTGCCGCCAGCGCTGGATAAAATGGGTACGCTTTGGTCTGGTACGCCTGCCAGTAGCTGCATTATTCATTAGCACATTGCGCCCCATCCGCCGTAAGCAAGTACAGGGAAGGGGCAACCAACCGGATCACGTCCGAATCCTCAGGCAGCGTTTGGCACACATCGCTCACGGTTGCGTCTGCACCCCAGAGGTTTATGAATGGGTATGCTCGCGGCATGCATTGGTTGATCAGGGCATCTTGCAGAGAAAGATCTCCCGTCATCGCCGACATCGTGGTCTGGCGGCAACCCAGCGCCAGCGGTGCGTCCGCGTGTCGACCGAGGTAGATCGTCGCACCTGTAGCATCTTCGACAACGTACCGGCCAGGTGATTTGCTAGCAGGTCGAACACGCATGCCAGGTAGTCGGGCAACGCTGTCACTCAGCGGGCTGGGCTGCGAGGCAGGCATGGTTGTGGTCGCCGCCGCCGTAGCTAGAAGATCAGCTTTCAGCAAGGCGATTTGTTCCTCGATGGCCTCCAAGCGGGAGATCAGGATCGCTGTTGCGTCACCTGGGTTAACCGACGACGTGTCATTTTCGAGGTTCCTGGGTAATGAGTATTAGCTTGGGATGGCGATTCTAGAGAGGCGGCTCACGTTGAATTGTAGTTCTGAGATGGTCCCTGAGGAACATCGGCGGCGACAGAAGGAGGATGATCCTCGTTCCCGGTCTCAGAAGATGTTGGCACACGACATAGCTCTGGATGGTTGCGTTTGACACAGCTGGAGCAAGGAACCTGGCCGTCGCAGCGGACCTTGCGGTGTCGACAAGGAAAGCAGGATCGGATGCCGCGGGACTTCCGCTTATTCTTCAGAAGCTCGCGCACAATGCTAGTGTCGTATGGATATGCGCTGTCGGCCATAACGGAGACCAGCTTTTATTACATGGCACTTCAGAGCAAAAGTGAATGGAATGGAACCAAAGAGCAATTGGGGACGGATTGAGATGGACGGCGGGAGGTACAAAGATCCAGGTCACGTGATACATACAACTTTGCTAATTGATAGTTGACATGCAACAGGGAGTTGTGGAATAGCTGAAAGGTTAAGGCCCATTGAGTGTGGGCGGGCAATTGCTGCAATCACTGTATCTCTGTAGAGTTTCGCTGAGGTCAAAGACTCCCTGATACTTCCAGACGGTGGCTTCTTCATTAGGCTCTCCGGGATGCCCCCCATAAGAGACGATGTGCACTTTGGGAGCTATTAGTTGGCTAGCTGGTATATTCTGTAATTGCCGCAACACATATTTGCTTAACAATAACCATGTACTGTCTCATAGTCGGAATAATTGCTCCTCCACTCATCTCACGCACCGTCAAACCATTTATGTGCCAATGCTTCTCGTGCCGTAAGTCTTCTCCTTGGATCGAAATTTGTCATGGCACAGATAAGGCTTTTAAAATCATCGTCAACTCCCTTCCAAAGCGAAAATGGTCTGACCGGATTCTCCTGATTGAATCCATTTAGCGTTATATTAAAGACAGCCGCCCAAGGATTATCATCAAGGCATTCGAGAAATCCATGGAATCCATCTTTGTCAGCGAAGTATGAGATCTGACGCTCAATCACAATGGCTAATCGATCAATGCCCTCATCCAATTCGTCGTCGCTGACCGCAAATATGACCCGCTTATGTACCACATAGATACACTACTAGCGCGTCAACAAATTGAAGAACCTTTCAGAGAGACAACACCTACAACGAGAGCAAAAGAGAAGATATCAGACGATTTATTCACCTTTCCTCTAGCATGCGCTTCGGGGCTCCTCCACATCCAGTTGCCTGCTTGCTTCCCACGCATACATGAACCAGGGGGAATGTATACAGCGTCTTCAAGATCACCAAGCTGGACTTTCCCGATTGTGATGCCATCATCGGAATGTTTCCAGTTGACGAAGAAGTTGTCCGGTTTGATGTCTACGTAAAGTCAGCTGCTGCCTGATCCACGGGGTACAATGATCTACCTGTATGAACAATATCTTTATCATGCATCTCAGCAATTGCACGAAGACCTTCTTTTAGGAGCCTTTTCCTTGTTTGTAGAGACAAGTCCTGTTGGGCTAGGTGTAGAAGATGACCGGTGAAGTATTCAAACACAAACATCGATTTATCAGGGATGATATCCTGGGGAAGACGAACATGGCTGGCATTGTTGCGTAACCTGTTGTTTATGACTTGGAGGTCTTCAAAATTGACCGCGTGAATATACTTCAATATGAACCTCTTATCGCCAGCGCTAATGGACAGTAAGGTAGTGATTTCGAAAGGTACTAGTCAAGGTCTACTCACGTTGCACGGAGAACCTGACGTGGCGGAGATATTTCTTCCTGAAGAACTTGTTCAACCTTATAATGACGGCCAGATTGGCCAAATATTTATCAGTGTAAATTGAGGAGGTTGACGCTGTGCTTGCTGTGCGGTGGAGACGACTGTTGACGATCAGTCTACAGCTAGGGAGTCTTGAAGCTACTAGAGCTGAGTATACCCGCATCTTGAGAGAATGGAGACCTGCAGAGGATATCGGCAGCATTGAGACAGTTTGACTGATTTGAGTGGTGAGGATGCGTGGCTTAGAGTATTTTGACAGAAGATATGTGGGTTCGTATGGAAGTAAACATCAGGTGACAGGTGCAAGGGGTGCAAAGGGGGCACAACGCCGCTGTGGCACGGGCAGGGGAACAACATTGCGCTCAGCAATCAACTTGACTGCGTATCAACAGGAAACTTAGAGGGAGATATCTCAACACTGACATATAACTGATACCGAACTTTATGATTGAGGGAGATCTGCAGGTTAGTTGAATGCTTACTCAGGGAACTTGCAGGCCCAACACAGCTCCTAGTAACATGGAATCTGGCGAGTATATTACTACAGATCAAGGTTGGTATGTACGACTGAGCTATCAGATATGCCTCACATCTACAGCCGGACCGGCTCCTTATCCTCCTCAACCCACAAATGCCCCTCTCTAACCAACGAATTCTTACACGATCGCTTCTTCGCCCAATCTTCCAAATTGTCCAATGACACCTGGGCAATCTCACTCAGTGCCTCTCGCGTGAAAAAGGCCTGATGTCCACACACAAGGACATTAGGGAAGGTCATCAACCGCATCAACGTGTCATCATGGATGATTTCCGCTGAATGGTCATTATAGAACAGATCCCCTTCTTCCTCATACACATCCAACGCCAGTCCACCTAATCTTCCATCCTTCAACGCCTGTACTGCATCCCTCGTGTGGATCAATCCACCTCGCGATGTATTCACCACCATCGCCCCCTTCTTCAACTTTGACAGACTCTCTGCATTGATCAAATGCCGCGTCCCCTCTGTTAACGGACAATGCAAGCTCACCACGTCACTCTGTCCCAGCAGCTCTTCCAACCCCACATAACTTCCTCCTATCTCCTTCTCGAACTCCTCCCCACCAAATGGATCTGCTCCCAGCAAAACACAGCCAAACCCCTTCATAATTCTCGCAAATGCCATGCCAATTCGGCCTAATCCCACCACACCCACCGTCTTCCCTGCCAAAGTCTGACCCAGAAAACCCTCCAGGTTGAAGTTGCCTTCGCGCACACGATTATACGCACGGTGTGTCTTGCGGTTCAAGGTTTGGATCAGCGCCACGGCGAACTCTGCCACAGCTTCGGGAGAGTAGCTGGGGACATTGGCGACGAAAAAGCCGAGGGCTTCGGCGACGGGGAGGTCGATGTTATTGAAGCCGGCACAGCGGAGGAGAATGGCACGGACGCCATAGGATTGTAGAGCGTGCAGGACAGTAGCGTCAAGGGTATCGTTTACGAAGACACAGATAGCATCGCTGGAGCGAGCGAGGGAGACGGTCGAGGCGGTTAGAGCGAATGGGTGAGCGGTTATGGTGGTTAGATCAGGGTGGAGACTTTGGAGGGTCTGGTTGAAGTAGTGGGTGTCGTAT